GTTACTTCAAATATAATCCGAGTGATTAGATTTAATGTAACACTAACTGAGTGATTATATTTAAAGTAACACTAACTGAGTGATTATATTTGAAGTAACACTAACTGAGTGATGAGATTTAATGTAACACAAACTGAGTGATTATATTTAAAGTAACACTAACTGAGTGATTATAGTTGAAGTAACACTAACTAAGTGATTATATTTGAAGTAACACTAACTGAGTGATTATATTTGAAGTAACACTAACTGAGTGATGAGATTTAATGTAACACAAACTGAGTGATTATATTTGAAGTAACACAAACTGAGTAGGGTTAAACGTTAATCTGAAAGTGGTCTATTATCACAAAGACTACAAACACGAAGAAAGAATCATGGTTCAGAAGGTAATCATTTGTGAGGGTTGAACGTTAATCTGAAAGTGGTCTATTATCACAACCAGCGTGGAATGGAACCTCCACGCGATTTTAGAATTGTGAGTCCGCAAATTTACCGCTGACCCAACGGGGGACAATATTTTATGACTTATATCAATCATTTATTTCTTTATGAAAAGCCGTTTACGAAGACATTCTAAAGCACTGGTTCTGAACTTCTTGTACGGGTACTCATGAAGAATGTTAAAAAGTAAATTAAAAATTGAGGACAGTCTCGGTAAGCTATTAACATATTGCACTAGTCAGCACTCAGTTCGTATATCGTTAACTCACCTTGAATGATTTTTTTTTATCATTATAAACGACTTTTAATTTTTTTTTGACAAATTAGATGCGTCAGAGGTCCCCCGCTGGCTCAAAGATCTGACTTTGGGCACGCGGTTGAAAAAGATTGGGAACCACTGTTCTGAGGAATTATTTTCAACTTGAAGGGAAATTTTATGCGATACTTAGCTAAACAGCCAAATCAGAGATCTCAAATTTCAGATATTTTCGTTCCTAATTTAGAACTTCTGACGAGAGGGGGTCCGGCATGGCCAGGTGGTTAGGGCGTTCGTCTCGCAATCTGAGGGTCGCGGGTTCGAATCTCCGTCCCACCAAACGTGCTCGCCCTTTCAGCTGTGAGAGCGTTAGGAAGTTATAGTCAATTTCACTATTCGTTGGTAAAAGAGTAGCCCAAGAGTTGGAGGTGGATGGTGATGACTAGCTGCCTTCCCTCAAGTCTTTCACTGCTAAATTCAAACCAAACCAAAGTTCAGGCATACTCATAACTAATTTAGAACTACCTCACGGATGAAAGTGAGAGCATATTTAGTGACACATCGTGGCTCAAGCCTTGGATCTTTTGGTTCGTTCTCCGGCACATTTTGAAAATACTACCAACCTCATTATACTTAACTTTAGTTAATGCAAAATGAAATTTATTACGAGCATTTCTATTAAGTAAATAAAATAACGACTTATATTCCCAGGAGAGTGCAGCAGATATTTTTTTTGCTGAAGAGTGTGATGGATTGCCAATCTCTTTTAGGACTGGGCAGAGCTTGAGCTGCACCTGTAAGAATACATGATAGGGCAATAGAGTTCCTGGTTGACACAGTAGCTGCAAGGACTCTGATAGATTCTGCCTTCTATCGCGAAGTTCGAATGAAGGCACCACTGATCACTTATTTTATTCTGGAAAATAGCAGCATGCTAGATGTAAATGGAGAAGGTCATCTCCAACGATGTCTAGCACACGTGAACTATAGAAGGAAGGTTGCCATTTCATACTTCAGTTCTGTCTTGGGTATTCCCGGGATAGTTGTACTTCAGAATCTTTCTACCAACTTTACCTGTGCGACAAGTAAGCTTTATTTTGGCGGGAAATCTATCCAGTACTAATCAGAACTGACCCAAGAAGAGTGGACCACTGATGTGTTCCCTATGGAGAAAATAATAGTACTTCCATGTATGCACGTGATGTGGAATAGTTTATTACGGACAATGTCAAATGCATTGACACCATGTAAATGGCTATGAAGACAACACATGGAACACACAGTTTTCTGTCTGAAAAACAGGCAGTAGTAGGTCTAAAATTATAGATAATCAGTAGTCCAGCATCTTGCTGGAATGGTCATTGGAGAAGCAAGAAAAGTGGAGGTGACTGATATTAGCTCTAATGCCCATTGTGCCATCCAGAAGTGAATACTTGACTACTACTGCATCTGAGATTGGTAGTTGATGATTACAGCAGCAGTCTAGAGTCAACAATGTATTTCTGTGACAGGACAGCGTAGAACTATAATTGTTTATCACCACACTGAAACAAGCAACACAATTCCAATAAATCAATCATTGCACAGGCTTCTCTGGAGTACTATGAATATAATCAGTGCATAGATATAGTGGATGTTAAAGAACGGGCTCGTACAGCCTTCTCGGGATTTATGATCGTCTCTAGTGATGATTGTTAGGTAGAAGGATGGCATGAGCAGATTATATGTTGATTTCTGCAGGGTCACAACAGAGTGTGATGAATTTTTATGTTTTTCCATTGCCACAAGCAGACAAATATCTGGATGCATTGGAAGATACTTAATGGTTCAGCTCTTTGGTTCTGGATACTAACACGTTGAAGGAGACAATGATGACAAGGTCAAAACTGCTTTTACCACTTTAGATGATTTGCTGTGTTCTGAGTTATGCCACTCAGCTTGTGTAATGCTCTGCCAACATTGAGAGGCTGATGAAACTTACACTTAAAGGAATTATATATGGTATATATAGACGATCTCCTGGTATTTGGTCAATCATTCGAATCTTCTATTACAAATTTGTCCATTGTGTTACAGCAATTATGAACAGC